ATGTTCAATCTAAGCAAAATCCGGCTGATTGTGCCTCTAGAGGTATTTTTCCATCCGAACTTGTGCGAAAAAAGTTATGGTTTCGTGGTCCAGATTTCTTATATCAGTTGAAAACGAAACCTGTAAAACCAAAAACCATATCGACTTCATTAGAGCAAGTACAGGTATATAATACTGAAACATCAGAATGTAATAATGAATTCGAAGAAAATGAATTTATTTTGCAAAATTGGTCCACACTTACCAAACTTGTTAGAATTGTAGCATATTGTAGGCGATTTTTAGAATTAAGGAAAATAAAGGTAAACAGGAATATAAAAAAATATTTAACCGCTTTTGAACTGAAACAAGCATTGAACACTTGCATAAGGATTTGTCAAAATAAAATATTTAAGAAGGAAATTCATAAATTGAAATTAAAAGAATATATTACTCATGGTCCATTAAAACCAATCAACCCATTTTTGGATGATGAAGGTATATTAAGAGTCGGGGGGAAGGTTAGAAAACGCCGAAATCCTTTGGGACAAAAAACATCCTATTATATTACCAAAGTGCTCAAGTCTTACTAACCTTATAATTGCTGATGCTCACTATAGAACACTTCACGGAGGCCCACAACTAATGTTGAATTTTTTAAGATCTTCATATTATATAATAGGAGTCAAACAATTAGTTAAGGCTTTTTATCGTAAATGTATAACATGTATTAGATTTGCAGCAACAACGAAGACTCAACTGATGGGTCAACTTCCTGCCGTAAGAGTCACCCCTACTAGACCTTTCAAACGAAGTGGAGTAGACTATGCGGGCCCTATCAGTCTAAGGACCTCAAAGGGACGTGGACACCATGCGTACAAGGGATATATTTGCTTATTTGTATGTATGGTTACCCGTGCTGTGCATCTTGAAGTTGTCAGTGATCTTTCCACTCAAGGGTTTCTTGCAGCCTTTAAACGTTTCGTCGCACGACGTGGTAATTGCAGCGAACTGTGGAGTGATAATGGGACCAATTTTGTAGGAGCTTCGAGAGATTTACAAAGGCTATTTAAATCTGAGCAGTCAAGAATTGCCAAGGATATAGCCCAAGCTTTAGCCAACAACGGTACTAGTTGGCATTTTATTCCACCTCATGCCCCAAACTTTGGGGGAATTTGGGAAGCTGGCGTTAAGTCCTGCAAGCATCATTTGAAAAGAGTTATAGGACAGTCTACTTTGACTTTTGAAGAAATGTCAACACTTCTGAGTCAAATTGAAGCTTGTCTTAACTCACGGCCGATTTCAAGATATAATGATAATGATGAAACAGTCGAAGCATTGACACCAGGTCATTTTCTAATTGGTGAACCAATGTTAACAGCCCCGGATTACAATTTCGATTCGTCTAACATTACGTATTTGAAAAGATGGCAACAGGTTCAAAAAATGACCCAGGACTTTTGGAAACGCTGGTCCCAGGAGTACTTATCTCATTGCCTGAAACGATATAAATGGACAAACCAAACAGCTGAACCAAATATAGGCGATATTGTTATTGTAAAGGAGGACGATCTACCTCCCTGTCGTTGGCTTCTTGGTAGGGTGATTCAGAAACATCCTGGCCCAGACAATCTTACACGAGTCGTCACGTTACGTACAAAGGCCTCTGTGATTAAAAGACCTACTTCTAAATTGTGTATTTTACCTTTAATGTAAAATGAAATTTGTGTGTTACTGTATTAGTTATAATTATAAGTTGTATTTATATTTCTATGTGGGTTTTTAAGTTCTTAGATTTTTAAATGATGTTAGTTACATAAGGTAATATTAATAAGTGGGTTTTTTTTTGTCATGGTGGGTAGTAAAATAAAGGACAATTTGTCAATATGTCCTTGGGGGGCGGTATGTTGACTTGTTTAAATTAGTATGATTTTTTCTAGTGTAGATGGCGTTGAGCAATAAATAGATCGCGATATAAGGTAGGCATGTCATTTACAATAAGTGTGAACTGTAAATTTTTATTGTTACCTAATAAACCAGATCAAGTATAATACTTGTGAGCACCTCTGGTTTTTTTTTGTCATACAGTCCATACCCAAGTTTGTTCAGGTTGCACAATCCAGTCCGCAGCAAAGGGAAATCTCCTAAGCTTCAGGCTAAATGGGACGGCCCGTACCGGATTGTGATCAGGATCAACGATGTAACCTACCGGATACAGAAAGGCGCAAGAGGGACTCCTAAGATCGTCCATGTGGATTGCCTAGCGCGTTATTATGGGGCCAATAATGCTCGGGACGAGCATGTCTTAGGAGGGGGCAGTGTTACGCGCTCAAGTCGACGATACACTAGCGCCATCTAGTGTCAGGAACGAGAGCGAGGGGGAGCATTGAGAAAATGACATCACAAATCACTCAACCGACAGCGCCTAGTCGAAACTCGAACGCTCGGTACCTTGCGCGTGTTTACTTGAACATTCTGGATATTTCTTTGCTAATTTAAATATATAGGCGCTGCAAGATGCGATGGAGGTAGTGTAGTGTTGATTTGGCGAAACAAGCGAAGCTTCGGAGCGGAATAAAGTGAATAAGTGTGTTTAATTATTAGTGTTTTTAACTTTAATTTGTGTAAAGTAAATTAAAGTGTTAATTTAGGTAATTTTATCGGCAATTTTTATTCACGAACCTCAAGCTCGTAACAATATATAATATATTTCGATTTAACATTAAAAAACAGTACTAAAAATCACCAAAACTGCCCACTTCAATGTCATTTTTTCATGTATTTAGATATAAACTTATCAATTTTAATTATTTTATCAAAATACAGGTAATTTTAAATATCCAAAAAAAATTAGTTAGTTATTTAGTCGATTAGTTAATTATTATATATGATTATTTTAAAAATACTTGTATATATAATATATACGCAGCATCTTCTTCTAAATCTTCTTGTGGAGCATCCATCATGAACCATTTCTTCGAGTTCTCGTCAAATAAATAATCAACATACCCTAACAGGGTGCCGTAGAGTTCCTCATAATTTAAGAAACTTCAGGGAATGGAATGTTAAATGTCGGTGAAAACATTGATGATATATATCGTTGATATATATCATCAATGTTTCGAATATGTCGGTGAAACATTGTATCTACAATTGCATGACTGACAATGTGATGTAGTCCACTGGTGGATGGCGTGGGATCCACGATTTATAAATTGAACTAAGGTACATGAGAGTAATGTGATCATCGTAAGCTTTGCCGCCCCTAAAAACCAAAACTAGAAGGAGGATAGAAAAAAAACACAAAGTCGTATACTATAAGAATATATTAAGAAAAAGAACAAACAAGCTTTCGCAATAATTAGGAACACTTCGAAAAATCAACTTAAAAAAACTAATTACACTATACTATAGGTACTAAAATCGACTATAGTAACCTATTTACGATCATAATGCATGCAACATACATATTACGGTCATAATGGCGTCGATAAATCGGCGCCCTTTTGATCCTTTATTACTTGATTGACCGATTAAGAGCTATTGTATAGCAAACAAGGCTGTAGTTTTTATATTGCCCCCATGTACTATAATACGTCTAATCAGTGTGTGAATTCGCAAAATTATTAACGAAAAATAGCAGGGCTGGCTTAAAAAATTGTTTGAACCCCTTTAAACAGTTTTTATTTCGCTTTGTAATTAGGATTGGTTATGAAAAACTTAAAAAATATGATTTCACGTTTTTTAGAATTATAAACTCGTTTGATATAGCACTAATAGTAGGTAGGCTTAATTAATATATTGTTTGACAAGGATCGTAACTACTCTAGTTCTTTATCAAATGACAGGATATTAATTACATTAATTGTTTTAATTAAATACTTTACTGATGGTATTTATGATATTCGACTGTGGTCTGTATATATATATATATATATATATATATATATATATATATATATATATATATATATATATATATGAAAAAAAACAAAATTATCAAGTACTATAAAAACCACTCAAAATCACATTAACCAAAGTTCAGACCTTACACTCTAATATGACGGTTTAGTCCGTTCACACTCAGCCAAAGTTGTCATAAGAGAAAGAAATCAAGTCAAGGTATTCTTAATTTGGCCCATCTTCAATATCAGCAATTTAGTCGATAAACTTCCGTCTAGGTCACCCTTACCGACTCCGCTACCCAATTATGCAGTTCAGAATAATATTATATACGTCCTACGGTTGTTGAAAAATAAAACTAAAATAATTAAGCGTGATCAATGACCTATATTAAATACAGGTACCATTTTGAATAAATGATCGATAGCTATAACCTCACCTACCTTTCAACACACTCACACAGTCAATTGAGCGTAAAATTATATGAGAATAACTCATGCGTAGATCTATCTCTATAGCGCCTGACAGATTAAAATAGCAATCACATTTAAACTGACACAATTTCCGATTTAATTAAGTAGGAGGCAAAAAAAAATCATATCAACCCGTAACGGTTTATTCTTGGGCATGACTCGCTCTTATTTTAGCCAATATCACACATTTTGGCAAATACTTAACAGTATTATTAATGTATTTAGTATTATTATGTACCTACGTAGCTTCGGCAGTAAATTTCACAGTACGCGAGCAACCTGGGTTCGAATTCCGCTAACACGAATATAAAATGTTAATTGCAATTATAATTTTAATTCACCACGTGCTCGGTGATGGAGGAAAACACTGTCAGGAAACCTGCATGTCTGAGAAATAAGAAAAAAAACATGAAGACATGTGAAGTTCGTCAACACGCATTGCGGCAGCGCGGCGGACAATTCCCTAAAACCCTCTCAGAAATGAGAGGAGGCCTGTGCCCAGCAGTGGGATGTATATATGCTGAAACTTTAACGTTTAACCTATCTTATAATAAAGATGTGTTCTTTCTGTCTTTCTATAAAGGACAGTTTTGTATAGAAATATTTCGATTTTGATTTTGACTTCCTTACCTACAGCATCACGCCATGCAAAAAAGCGATCGATGGTCCGAAGATAAGGAAGGAGAAGCAGGGAAAAGCCGCCCGACTTCTAGAAGGAACTCCGGTAGCCATTCGCGCCGCGGCAGTAAAGAGGAGCCCAAAGAGAACAACAAAGGAATCAGTACAGCACCTCATTCAAGCAACTCTACTCCGAAAAGGACACAGAAGGTCCAGGACTTCGATTTCGTTGTCACTGGAAAGCAGATTTTAAAAAGGTGCGCGTAATCTACTTACATCGTTACAGCCTATTAAAGTCATGTGCTCCTGGTAGATTATCTTCTATACATTCATCCATTACAGCCTATAGTCCACTGCTGAAATTAGATCTCGCCACAGATTGTCCCTGATATTTGCCATAGTTGCCACGAGGTTGGCAACCACAGGTTTTATTTTAATCCTTACAAGGAAGATGCAGCTGCCCATATCCTGATTTGTTTCCTTCTGTCGACTCTTACGACACCCATGGGATGATATGGTGGATATTCTTACACAGCCACTACACGGCATATATCACATATATAAATAGATTACGAAAACAAAAACTTTAATAAAATATTTAAAAAAAAAAAAAAAAAAAAAAAAATGATTTAATGATTTTCAAACGTCTGAACAGATTGTCTTGAAACATGCTTAAGAAGACGCTTGATTAAGACGCTTTTCAAACTAAAAAAAAAATAGTAAATTTCACCAAATTATGTTGCGAAATCTCGAAGTTATGTTAAAAAAACGTTATTTTCAAATGCTTTCTTCTTCGATATCTCACGAACGAATGAATCGATTTTTATTTTCTAATAATATAATATCTATAATAACGGTATTTGACGTCATTTTTTGAGGTTAAGAGCTGATTAGATTTTGAAATCGATCGGTAAAGCCGTTTAAAAGTTATTCCAAAAATACAATTTTTAAAATTTTTATTTTTGAGATTTCTCAAAATCTCCTCGTACGAATGACCAAATTTATTCTAAATTGAGGAATCGATCACAATCGATCAAGACGTTCAAAAATTATGAAAGGGTTACATACACACACACATATACATACACATACATCCGTACGGACGTCCACGTGAAATTAGTCAGAATAGCTTCCTGGGATCTCAAAACGTCGAGATCTGATGAAAATTCGATTTTCTAAAATCGGGGTGAAACCAATAACTTCCCAATTTTTGAAAATTTTCAATTTCCTTAGCGGGAAGTTATAAAAAACTTAATCAAAATAATTTCTTCAGTCTAGAGCTATGACGCTGACGTCACAGACAGACACAGATACACACTACAAACTTATAAAACAGAGTTTTATTTAGGGTTAAAAACGTGATGAAAACAACTATGGCAAATATCCCTCCTATAAAGTAATTTATGCCTAATGTTCAGCACTGGACTTTTATAATAATGAATGGACATATGATAAAATTTTGGTTTCTTTCAGGGCGGACCGCGCCAGCTCGCTTCCCGGCTCTCATCGGAGACCCTCCTTAGACTCCCTGTCGAAACACAGGAGGTTGCTCGACTCTCCAAAGAGATTCGCCTTGTCACAACCTTCAAAGAGCAGGGACACCTCCCTTGATGAAGACATGTCACTGGAGCTGTCACAGGTAATAACATCTAGGGTTGTCTAATCTCCGTATAGTAACATATTCATTTATGTTACGAGTTTGGGGTTCGTAACGATAAAAACAACCGATTGAATTACTAAAATTGACACTTTAATTACCAAACACCAATTACAACTTAAAACACACAAATAATAAAACACAATTCGCAGTTATATCACTTCGAAGTATTCGCTCGTATAGCCAAATCAATACTGAGTCGTTCGTGGCCCTACTGGTCTTATATAGGCCCTCTTCTACTGAAACATCTAGAATATTCGAATACATACCGGTCCCGACTGACTAGGTGTAGAAAGTTCTAGTATGGAATTCTCTAGAAGGATTAGTTCTGCTACTCGACACAAAATGGCGCTAGTACCATGTACCAAGCATTGATTATGGCGCGCAACATTCATTTGTTTACGAATTATGGGCTACAATAGACCTTAATAAGTTATTGCATTGAAAATGCAACTATGTAGTACTTTTCGGTCCTACTTTTTCGTTCTTCTTTATAAAAAAGTTTTTTAACGCTGTTTACGTAAATAGTTTTATGTAAATACTTGTTGAAATAGTTTACGTTTAGTGTTTAGTATATTCAATTGTAGCTAAAAATAGTTGTAAAAGTTTTAATGTATTTTAAAAAATTATATATATTATTTATATTACCTATTTGATAAATTATAATAGCAAAACGTCGTTCCTACTATAACTTTTGCGTGGATGGATACTAAATGAAATGACCAACAAAAGGTTTCATATTATCATTCTTTAAGTTACCGAAGAATTTTAGAAGGAAATTATGAAAGGTGAATTTATTTAATTTTTAGGTACTTACAGCAAAAAAGAATTAAGTAATAATTTGGTCTACAGAAGAAAAACCTAAGTACTTTATTACAAAAATTAGTTAAAATTTACTTCAATATCTAAGTATTTATTTATTTTTTAAAATTTTTTTATTTATTTTTTTTTTAAAAACGTTACCTCCACACTAGGATTTTCTACTGTATCGTGGGGGCAGTTTACATACACAAACTTCACAAAGACAAAAATCCTGACCCGGAACAATTACTTGTAGGTCATACAAATACTAATGATTTCTTATATTTACGCGAACACTACACATTGAAATAATACTAGTTTTTACGGAATTTATCGCGTATATTTAACTTTTTAAATACCCGACGTTTCGAGAGCTTTACAGCACTCATGGTCACGGGAACGACTGAGATGTTCAACGTCCAGATGTCATAGTTATCCGCGGTTACCATAGATTACAATTTAACTTTTGTTCCGATCTACACAGTATGAACTTATGGTATCATGAAGTCTTGCAGTTGTATGCTTGGGTTGGGATTTAATTTTATTTATTATGGGATCCCCAGCAGATGGTAGCACGCAGCCATCTTCTCTATTGAAATTAGGATGTTTTTTGATTTCAATAGCCTCGCGAATCATCCTTGGAAGGAATCGGTGTTCTTTAGCGAGGATTTGTGGTCTATCAAATCTGATGTAGTGACGGGGGGCGATCCTGTACGTGTTCACAGACTGCAGACTTCCCGGAGCGTCGATTCTTCACACAAAACGTCGGGTATTTAAAAAGTTAAATATACGCGATAAATTCCGTAAAAACTAGTATTATTTCATACAAATACTAGTTCCGTGCGGGATTCGAACCCGCGGCCCTCAGCGCTGTAACTCATTGCTAAGCCATTACGCCACCGAGCCGTCATAGGTTGTCATTATAGTAAATATTTTATATTTAAGATGATTTTTCGAAGTGTTCATAATAGTTGCGAAAACTTGTTTTTTTTTCTTAATACTTTAGTTATGGTATACGACTTTGTGCTTTTGTCTCTGTCCTCCTCGTAGTATTGGTTTTGTATGGCGGCAAAGCTTGAGGTGACCATATTGCCCTCATGTACCTTATTCGATTAAACAAAAACTATATTTAATTAGTTATTATACCTAATGTAAATGAATACATAGTTGATAATAACCCTGTCAAATGAGGTGGTCACTTCCAAGCTGTATATTCGCATAATTTACATTGAAAAAAAAGTCGCGCTGGGTTTCTTGCAGGTTCTTACCAGAACAGAGGTTTATTTCCGAACCAGTGGTAAAAGTAAAAAATGATTAGTTGTCTGTAAAGTCAGTTTACGGACGATAGTTTAACGTGACAACGTCATAACAAAACATTGATGAAATGATTGCATACCTTGTAGAAGAGAGATAGATGCGGCGCAAGCTGAACGCTCAAGCCGATCGTGCCTTTCGCTCGCTCGTGCAGCGCTATCGCTCCCATCGTAACGTTACAATGAGCGTAACATTACAGTGAGCGTAACGTTACAATGAGTCATCCTTTTTCGTGCGTACAGTCGGCGTTCATCGATTTATTAGACGTTGTCATGTCAAAATTCTATTCTATTCTGGAATAAAAAAATGTAAACAAAGCTTATGTAATAAATATGCTAGGTATCAGACTTTGAAGACATGAACTCGAAATACGGAATAAAGAACAAATTCTCGGCGCTCGCCACCTCCACACCGAAGAGACAAAACCAGAAACCGAGGAGCGGATCCCTGCAGAATCAGGCACCGGTGAGGGAACTGCCAAAACGCGGTCAAAAGAGTTTGGACAGTAAGCACAGTCGACAGAGCACGTTTTCCTATAGCAGAGACAGTCTGTACAAAACCTCTTCGTCCAGTCCTTACAGGTAAGCTCATGGTTAAGGTTATTAATAAAAATAAAGTGAACATTTCATGTATGTATATATCATCATCATTGTTATTATTGTTACGAGCTTGGGGTTCGTGTCAAAAAAACCGCTGATTGAATTGCCAAAATTGACACTTTTATTACCGAACACCAATTACAGCTTAAAACACACTAATACTTAATCACAATGATCACTTTAGTTCGCAGTTATATCGCTTCGAAGTATTCGCTTGATTCGCCCTTTCAGTAATCAGTCCATTTCAGTCTCGGTCGCGGTCCTTACTGGCCTTATATAGGGCCTTTTCCACTAAAACATCTAGATTGTTCGAGCACATAGCGGTCCCGGCCGACTAGGTGTAGAAAGTTCCACTATGAAATTTTCTAGGAATCTTAGTTCTGCTACTAGACACTAGATGGCACTAGTGCCATGTACCAGATATTAATTATGGCACGCAACATTATTGCAGCCCATCACATGTCCACAGCTGAACTTAGGCCACCTCCATCCATCGACTTCCAGCATCTCTACACTTCGCTCCCACGAGGCTGTCACTCGATAAACTTTTGAGGTGAACACGTCTTCGAATTTGGTTCCATAGGAGAGGTAATTCTGAAAACTGATGATGACTAAATCGGTGGATACAGTTTGGTGTTGCAGCTACATATATATATATATATCTTCTACATTTAAGATTAAATCACACCACTTGATAAGAAGAATTTCTTACGTGGAGTGAAGACTACGGCGCAAACGCCCTACAACGCCAATACAACGCCATACAACAATTTCAGTCCTCACGGGTGACAACGCATCTGCATTTTGATTTGTAATCGAGGATAGATGTAGATGTTTATGCGGCGCAGCAACCACTTACCATCAGGTGAACTGTGTGCTCGTTTGTCACCCTGTCCTATAAAAAAAACGCGCGGCGCAGGAGGAGCGCCGCCATTATGTGGTAGTTTCATGTTTGATGACAATAGGTCGAGGTATATGCCGGCCACATAGCTCGGCCCATAGTCGCCTCAGCTTACTAACCCGTTGGGCTATGTCGGTTACTCTAGTTCTGCTGCGGATATTCTAATTTCGTTTTCATCATGCGGAGAAACTCCAAGCATAGCCTCCTCCATCCCAATTCTACATAACTCCTCCCCTCTCCTGGTATTTGCAGACGTTTATGATCAGTGATCACTTTATTTATTTTTTATAGGATAGGGTGACAAACGAGCACACAGTCCACCTGATGGTAAGTGGTTGCTGTGGCCCATAGACATTCACATTTATCTTCGATTACGAATCAAAATGCAGATGCGTTGTCATCCGTGAGGACTAAGATGGAATGCCTCGTTTCCAGTAAAAAGGGTCTCCGGTTCTCTACACTCACCATACGAAACACAACAGCATTAAGCTACTATTTTACGCTGGTATTCTGTGAGAGCGTGATCCTTCTCCGGTCGAGCCGACCCATTCGTGCTGCAACTATACTACTAATATAACTGCAGCATGGCTCTACCACGTATAAAAACCATCAGGTGAGCTTTATGCTCGTGTGCCTTCTCTTCCATAAACAAAAACTCTCTGAATAGATAAATATATGTTTTGAAGGCCATCGGTAAGCACCGAGCTGGATTGTTCCTCGGTGTCTCCGGAATACTCCGCGGCGTCTTCTGGCGATTCTGTCGGAGCTCCACCCGACACACTGATAACGCCACGCTCACAAGAACTGAATGACTCCAGGTATTTCAATATTTATATATTATGCATTTCGGGTGCTGTTGGCGCTGCCTTGGTTCTGCAGATTCTACACGATCATGCGCAAGTGATGTACTTCCCTGGTGAGTAAGATCCGAGCTAGCTCCAACAGCATCCTAGTGATGTTGTCGAATATATTTGACTGTCAGTATCTGAACCATTGTTGTATGATACACGTAGTTAAAGTTACAGCCTATATACGTCCTGCTGCTGGGTACACTTATGAGAGGGTTTTAGGGCAAGGAACGTTGATGTCGTCTTCATGTACCGTGGTACATGGAGGTATCGGGCCTCAGGGTAAACCCCATTACCCGGATATCCTCATACCCCATAATTATGGGGCAGTCGCTTTGGCCTATTCATGGCATAGATTGTGCTACTGTTGTAACGTAGCCGGATAAGAATTTTTTCCCGTAGTTCAAAGGAGGTTATCTATGGAGGTTATCTAATTAGGTCTAAGTTGGCCTTTCAGCGGCATTGTGGGTTGTTACTCGACTCTCTGATCGATATAGAGAGGAGTTCTCTTGGAAGAGGTCGCCCGTCCGGGGGCCGAGTGTGCAACGGTGCATAACCGTTGAGATGGTCATGTGGCCCGTTATCAGCACGGTCAAACATGCCACGCGCTAGCCGGGTCACGAAGTCGGTGATAGTCTCGACTTTCAGATCGGCCGCTATAACGTCATTCCGGACGTAACGACCTGCTCCGACAATCGTCCTTAATGACAGGTTCTGCTGAGCCTGTAGTCGCCGCCTCAGAGGGTCGCTCAGAAGCGCGTACCAGGCCGGAGCAGCGTAGGTGGTAATGGTCCGGATATACATCTTGTATATCCGGAGCTTGGTCTTTATTGGCAGCTTGGATGCCAGGACCGGACGAAGCATCGCCCGCGCACATCTGGCTTTGCAGACGACGAAGTCGACGTGCGCAGTCATGCGCAGCGCCCGGTCGATCCGGCACCCGAGGTATGTCACGGCCTTCTCGTACGCGATCTTATGGCCGTCGAGAGTTAGCGGAGGTGGTAGATTTCTGAGACGGCGAGTGAGCAGAGCGGTCGTCTTACCAACGTTGACGACCATCCTCCACTCGTTCAGCCATGGTGGCAACAGGTCCAGCAGACGCTGCATTTTGGCAGTGGCTATATGGGCTCTTCTGGACGAAGTGAAATAGGCGCTATCGGCATATAGCGCCAGCTCAACATCGTCCTCCCACTCTTGCAGCCTGCCTGCCAATGTTGGTATATCATTCGTGTAAGCCGCGTACAGAACTGGAGACAGACAACTGCCCTGTGGGACGCCTTCACTGATGGTTCTTGTTGCGGACTCGGCGTCCTCTACGCAGACGTAGAACTTCCTGTCTTCCAGGAAAGACGCCATTAACCGCAACATAGCAGGGGGGATACTGGTCTGCTCGTGTAGTTTGTATAGTAATCCTGAGTGCCACACCCGGTCGAACGCCTTCTCGATATCGAGAAAGACGCCCAACGATATGCGGCCACGATTGTACTCTGCCGCAAGCAGGTGCAGCACTCTAGTCATCTGTGTGACTGTAGAGTGACCCCTCCCGAATCCATGCTGCTCCGCCCGAAGTTGGATGCACGGACGGAGACGTCTCAGCAGCAATCTTTCAAACAGTTTAGCTATGTGCGGTAATAGCGTAATCGGCCTGTAGCTGGCAGCTCTACGCCTGTCCTTCCCGGGTTTCGGCAAGACGATAATTTTGCCTTTTTTCCATTCCTCCGGGAAGTGGGATGTCCGCAGTATCCCATTGTAGAGTCGACCAATCTCTACTAGGACTTTATAGGGCAGTTGTCGGAGTGCAGCGTTGGTAATCCCGTCGTGTCCGGGCGCCTTCCTCGGTTGCAGGCAGGTTACTGTCCTCCGCAGTTCGGCGGGGGAAATGAACCACTCTCCTGCAAGAGGCGGCGCAGGTGACGACAGAAACTCCTGTACGCGACTCTCCTTTATGGCATGAAGCTCCATGTACTCCGCACTTGCAGGATTCGGCATAAATTGCTCCTCGAAGTGCTCTCCTAGGAAATCCGCTCTGCCCTTGGCATCGTAGCAGCGTTCGCCCGCACTGTTGGTCAGCGGGCAAACGGGAGGTCTGGTTTTGGTTAACTGTCGGTTCAGTTTATAGAGCGACGCATTTTGCTCATCCGCCTTCCATATGCGCCGCTCCCAGGCTTCTCCTCTGTAGGCCCGGACTGCAACCGACAGTTCTTCCGATAAGATGTTAAGCTGTGATTTTAGTCATGGGCAGCGAGTACGCGCCCAGAGCTTCCTCAGTGCTCTTTTGCGTTTTATCTGCACGCTTATTTCCCGCGGCAGATCGTCACGCCTTTCTGTGATCGGGACGATCGTAGAGGCCGCGTGGAGGGCCTCCTGGATGTTTTTGGTAATTCTAGTTGCAGCGGCCTCTACGTCGTCCGCTGTATTTATGAGTTGGTGGGCTGGAGGTCTCGCCTGCAGGTGTTGTGCATAGCGCCTCCAGTCGATGCGTGTCTTGAATGCTCTGGGCGGCGTAGTCACCGCCTTAGTGCCAAGGGTTATCAGAATCGGGAGGTGCTGTGAACACTCTGGACCCCCACGCCGGGTGTTTGGCGTTTAGGTCCCCGGCGATTATAGTAGGTGTATCGCCTTCCATGACCGTCCGGATGTCTGAGGAGCAGAATGGAGTCCCTGGCGGGCGGTATGCTGCGTAGATCCTTAGTTCCTCGCCCGCCGCCTTCATTCTTATGCCGATAGAACGCATAGTCTGGTAAGGTGGTAGTTCCAGCTCTTGGTGGACGATGTCCCTCCTCACAAGAACCGCCGTCCCTCTGTAGGCGGCCCCTTGAGGGGTGACCTCGTCCCTTCTGTATAGGTGGTAATTTGGCAGCTTAATATGCGTCCTGGGATTTAATTTTGTCTCGCCCAGCAAAATGATGTGCAAGTCCTGTTGCTGGGCGACTGTGCGGAGTTCATGCAGCTTCTGCTGTATTCCGCCCGGGTTCCAATAGAGGAGGCGCAGATTACCCTCCTCCGTAATGCCGGGCTAATAGGTTTGCCAGCGCCTTCATGATCGCCGTGACTGGATCCGTCCCGGCTCTTATGTCCGCCAGGACTTGGGTGCCGACCTCGATGGCAATACCAACTAAACGTTGTATTGCGTCTGCTGTCTCGAGGCCGGTGGTAGGTGTTTTCCTTTGTGAAGGCGTTGGCAATTGTCTCGGGTGTGGATGTTCCTGGTCCTGCCCTCTTAGCTTATGTGTAGAGCGCGCTCTAGCTGTAGAGCGGGCTCTACGTTCTGGTAGAGCCCTTTCTGGCACTCTACCCACGCTCTTGGTCGACTCCCGAGTAATCTGCGCCTCTGAGGCTACTAGTCCAGATGTTGTCGGGGTAGAGGTGACAGCCTGAGGAGGCTGCGACTTTTTCCTGCTCCTCTCCCGCCTTCTCTTCTTAGAGGGTTGCCGTTCTGTGGCAGGGTTGGCGGGGGGGCTGTAGAGTCGCCCCGGTAGTTGCCCTTATCTCTGTGGGTTCCACCGTTTCCTTAGGTGTTACGGGTGGGGGGGGCTGATTGCCTGCCCTTCCCTGTGATGGTTACCCACCCGTCTTGCTGGATGGTTACAGCTTTTGGGCGACTCTGGGGGATCTTTTTAGGGTCCTCCGGGAGTAGCCCCGGCAAAGTAATCCCCTGCCTCCTAGCAGTCCTCCTCAGGACTGGGCAGCGGCGGTCATTTGCCGTGTGGTTTTTGCCACAGTTGGCACATTTGGGTTCCTCCTCTCTACCCGAGGGCAAAGGCTTGCTATGTGCTCCCCGGCACAGCGCACACACCTCACTGGCCTGAAGCAATTGGCGGAGGCGTGCCCGAAGCCCTGGCATCGGTGGCATTGAGCCGGTCCTGCTTTTCTCTGCCAGGCCTCGACGACCCCTCTCATAAAGAGGAGCTCGTCGACGTTGTATAAATTCTGGAGTTGCTCCAGGCTCAGGTGATCTAATTGGGCAAAGTAGATGCAGCCAGGTCTGCCTCTACGTGTTGGAATTGCCTTCACGTATTTGATGGGGAAGCCTTTTGCCCTTAGGGCAAGGAAGTGTCCGCCGCGCTGCCCGAATGCGTGTTGGCGGACTGCATAACATGTCTTCGAAATATGTTTTTTTATTTTTCAAATATGCCGGTTTCATTACGATGTTTTCCTTCAACGTCGAGCACGTCATCATGTCATCGCATTTTTATTGATGAATCAGCACTAAAAAATGCAATTAATAATTTAATTGGTACCGGCGGGAATCGAACCCGGGTTGCTCGCGTACTGTGAAATTTACAATTATCGTTTAGCCACGACTCATGGCTCTATGGCTCTTGTACTGACAAATAAATAATTTGAAGTCAACTATGTACTGTATATACCTACTGAGAGATTTTTATTTATTCACTTATTTATTTGTTCACTCTTCTTTGTTATTTAAATTAATTACTCAAACTAGGCTATGTTATCACCTAATTATATTAATTACGAGTATATTAATATGATCCTTGTTGAATAAAACTACTTTTACGCATTTTATAACACCCTACCGTTCGGATGCTTTGTAGCACCCATGGTCACTGGGGACTGAGGTGATTGACGTCCCAATTTCAGAGTTACCTCGGGTTACCTTCAGCTCTAAAATTATTACATTTGGTCTGCGAGAGTTCACAAAAAATAACCCGCAAATAAACTTTGCAAACACCAACGCTCCGGGAAGTCTGCAGTTTGTGATCTTTGAAAAATCTTTATTACCACAAAAACGAATTTATACATATTAATGTGATCCAAGCTCCTGTAAAAGGTTATCCTGAGTAATAGGAGCTAGTTCCTTCCTAAATTTAACAAGCTTTTGTTAAATAAAAACACAAAAAAATATACAAAAATATATATGGATCTACGTGTTTCTAAACCTACGTACGTGCGCGCCGTGTGTGTGTGTGTGCGTGTGTGTGTGTGTGTGTGTGTGTGTGGGGGGGGGGGGGGGTGTGGGTCCCTGGGTGGTGTTGTGCGTGTGTGGGTGTGTGCGTGGTGGTGCTGGTGTGTGTGCTGCGCGCGCGCGGCGTGTGTGCAAATAAGGCTGTAGTTTTTGTTACTTTATTATTATTTCGTATTTTACTACGTTTTTATTAGTCACTTTCTTGTTTGTCAACTCAGATTTCGAAAACTTCCAGATTAGCTAGAGACACGAAATTTTGAATATTACTGAGAATTGGATGACAATGTAGGAATATGAAATGAAACTTGGTATGTTAATTTTTAGTACAAAATTTAAAAAAAAACTTGTTTAGAATCGCTTTTATTAGGTTTGACCTATATATATAAGTCCACCTGATGGTAAGTGTACACTGTAGTCCCCGAACACCTACAGCTAACTTGAAACAAAGAATTCAATAGATACGTTGTCACCGCTGGCGTCAATCAAAGCAATAGTAAATAGGCTTTTGTTACGCTAAGACAGTCCGACTTACCATCTAGGGCTTCATCACTTGCCACCAGGAGAGCCTGTGGTCTAGAACTATGTTATTATAAGTAAAAAAAAATACGACACTGGCTTTGCTTCACAGATTGTACACAGGGGACACCGCTACGATAGTACAATAACAGCGGCACGACCGTGGTCTGCCTTTTCTTTTGTTGCTAGATCACAACTACCAATAAATCGATTACGAACGTATCACCAGTTTTCCTCTCTGCTCTATCAAGATATTATCCATCATCTATCTTAGCGAGTAGGCTAGCACCGCAATTTTTTAATATTTTGAGTTGTTATCAGCAAGATACTGTTGCCTCTCTCCTGTTTCATTTCCCTCTGTCGTCTTTTACGATCCTCACGGGATAGTGTGGCGATTTAGATGATGGGGATGATGATGGAACACCTCACAGGCTATAATTGCACTGGCTCTCACAAGTCATACAACCTTAATACAGCTGCAGCATGACTATACCACGTAAAATCTTCATGAACGACCTTAAATAAGTATACTAGTGTGTCCCATGGTAGCTGCTGCGTGAGCACGTGGCAGGAGTCCGGAGTGGGGGCAGGGTCGGGCTCCGACGGCGAGTGGGCGCACTTCTGGGCGCGCTACAATGGACCCCACACGACGCGCGAACTCTACGACCTCTGCCCCACACCCTACCGCAACGACCTGGACCTCGCTGATTTTGGTGAGCTCAAGTTCAACTAATCTAACATTTTAGAGGTGATGGATGCCTCGTTTCTGGTAAGGGTCTCCAGTTCTCTACACTCAGCATACGAAACACAGTAGCACGGCATTATCCTGTTATTTACTACGCTGGTATCCTATGTCAGATATACGAGAGTTCAGTTATTTTCATGGCTTATGGCCTAATATTGAAAATGAATCGTAGTTGGGCTTCGCTCGCTCACTCGACCCCGTCATCCCCTTCGTGGTTATTTTTCTTGTAAACCACTCAGAAATAGCCGTCGCACCGGGCTTCCCTCAACTACGCAACGGTTTAATCAGGTTAAATTTGTCAAAAAAATTAATGAAACTTAACTTCAAAATGAGATTTTAAAAAATTTATAAAAAAAACCTAAGCACGTCCGGCAAGAGGGGGGAGGGGGGGGCTATACAACCCCTCCCCTCCCCTCGCACCACCCCCCGCACCACCCCCCAATTCAGGCGACCGAAGTTTTGCAGAAGAGCGTCATAAAGCTGTAGCGGCACTGTCGTCGCGCCACTAGCACACCGAAACACACCGAAGCCTAAATCGCGCTATTAACATTCCGAATCATAGACAGTATATATAGAATATCTCCGAACTGTCACACGGAGCGTTGGCCACTCCCCGGGCAGAACACCTTGCCCAGCGGCAGATCTCCCCTTTTCCTTCCACGGCCACGGCTTCATCATCGTCATAAAATACCCCACCCATTCGTTCCCGAGCAGATATCGTCTGCAATCTTCATATCCTGCAAGCCATCTAGCTTCACAAGGTTCATCGCAGCACTGGAATAATAATGCTTCCTGTTCCTTCAAGCTACTCTCTGCGCTATACAGTGTTCGGCACAGCTCTGAGCCTTACGGCTCGCCTCTGCTTCACGGCAGTCTCGCAGATTGCTTGCCTTCTTCTCGACTCACCGCAGACTACAGGCAATCTCCTGGCACTTGCACATTCGTCGGCAACGAGGTGGCACTATCGACCTCCGGTCTGAGCAGGGGGTGATGTAGCGGCGCTGTCGTCGCGCCACTAGCACACCGAAACACACCGAAGCCTAAATCGCGCTATTAACATTCCGAATCATAGACAGTATATATAGAACTTCTCCGAACTATCACTCGGAGTGTTGGCCGCTCCCCGAGCAGAACACCTTGCCCTGCGGGAGATCACCCCTTTTCCTACTTCGGCCACAAAGCCATTTACAACTTTAAACCGAGACAGTCTCTTAAAGAAAAAATTTAAACAAACAAATATTGTTACGAGTTGGGGTTCGTGACAATGAAACATGCCGATTAAATGACCAAAATTGACACTTTTACCGAACACCAATTACAACTTGAAACACACTAATAATAAAACACAATTGTACTACCGATCACTTTAGTTCACAGTTGTAACGATTTAAAGTATTCGCTTGTATTGCCAATTCAATACTGACCCGGGGCTTGGTCGATACCGACCTTATGTCCTCTCCTACTGAAACATCTATAATGTTCGACTACATACTGGTTCCGACTGACTAGATGCAGAAATTTCTGCTATGAAATTCTCTAGAAGGATCTTGACTCCCCTAGTTATGCTACTCGGTACTAGAGGGCGCTAGTGGTAACTAATGAGTCCATGTACCAGGCATTAATTATCGCTCGCAACAATATAGTAAAAGTAAAGTAAAGTTACAGCCTATATACTTACGTCCCACTGCTGGGCACAGGCCTCCCCTCATTTCTGACTGGGTTTATAATATAACCTTTCAGTATATTTACGAAAATTTTATGAATGTTTACAACGAGTGATATAATCAAAAATGTTGTACAACTGATTTTAATATAACAACTTTGACAGAAATGAGGGTATAGTACAGGTGTGATGTTATATTGTTTGTCTAAACAATGTGTAGATATGCGATAACACCAATCGTGGTTAATTTGCTGGCATTTATTGAAGATTTCCGCTGTCTGTCTCCGAAACTCATCATCAGATCTTTACGAAATTTAAATGGGAATATTTCGTAATAAACCGTATAAATAATAACATGGTTGATAATAACCCTTAGGAACGAGGCGATCGTTTCAAAGCTGTTTCCAATATACATTTTGTAAATAGTTTGCACTATGTATAATTTTCTTTGAAAAAGTCCCGCTGGGTTTTCTGCTGTTTCTTTCCAGGACAGAGTTTTTTTCGAACCAGAGCAGTGCAAACATGACTTTCAATAAGAATTACATGTATCTATCATTATCTACATGATGTATGTATACTACATGGGGGTGACAAGCGAGCACACAGTCCACCTGACGGTAAGTGTATGCTGTGGCCCATAGACATCTACATTTATCCTCGATTAAGAATTCCAAACAAACAAAAAAAAAGATACGTTTTCACCCCTGAGAACTAAGATGGAATGGCTCGTTTCCAGTAAAAAGAGGTCTGCGGATCTCTGCACTCGCGTCGAGCCGACCTATTCGAGCTATAACCATAATATAGCTGTAGCATGGCTCTACCAATACTCTACCTGGCTATACTCGTGCTGCTTATACAGCTACATGTCCGAGAAATTATTATTTGTTTTAATTTCTTGGACATGCAGGTTTCCTCACAATATTTTCCTTCACATAAGTGGTAAATCAACACTTAAAATTTACCTTCGAACCCGGTTGGATCACGTTTTTTTTTATATAGAAGAAGGGGCAAACGAGCATGCGGCTCACCTGATGTTAAGTGACTACCGCCGCCCATGATCAACCGCAACACCAGGAGAACTGCGGGTGCGTTGCCGGCTCTTTAGAAAGGAGTAAGCTCTTTTCTTGAAGGTCCCCAGGTCTTATGGGTCCGGAAAAATCTCCATTCCACAGAGAGGTAGTACGCGGAAGAAAACTCCTTGTGAAACGTACAGTGGTGGACCGCCAAGCATTCAGATGGTGTGGATTTTATCGGGAGTATTGCCGCGTAGTGCGTTCATCAAATTTGGCGGCTGGGATTAATCCGAACCATTCATTAGAGCACTCCCCATGGTATTTGCGAAAGAAAATGCAAAGAGATGCAACATCTCTTCGCAGCGCCAGTGAATCGAGCCGATCGGAAAGCATTCATTCGTCGACGATTTGAGCCGCTCTGCGCTGGATGCGGTCAAGTGGAAGAAGCTGGTACTGGGGAGCCCCAACCCAGAGATGGGAACAGTATTCCATGTGCGGCCGAACCTGCGCCTTGTAAAGTTGCAGGCGGTGTGCCGGCATGAAATACTGTCCCGCTCTGCTGAGCACGCCAAGCTTTTTTAGAGGCCAATTTGGCCTTCCCTTCCAAGTGACCACGAAACTGCACGTCACTCGATATGTCGACGCCGAGGATTCCGTTACTGGCTGAGGCAACAAGGGGAGTGCCTTGAAACTGAGGGGATACGGCAAAGGGGTTCTTTTTAGCGGTTAACGCGCAAACTTGTGTCTTCTGGGGGTTAAACTGGACTAGATTTAGTCGCCCTCAATCCGAGACTCTGTCCAGCAGAGACTCGACTTTTGAAATTTAAAACGAACTAATAGCCCTTGAGTAACCACAGTTCTTATACCATTTTTTTAATTTAAAATTACAGAGTTATCAACCAACGACTCGATGAAACGGTCTCCAGACAACTTAGCGAGCTTAAACAACTTAATAAAGTCCGAAGGATTACATCTCACAGCGAAGGAAACACAGAACGTCATAAAATGCGCGCATATACTGGGCAATGTTGTAACTATAGCTATAGAAAGAAGAACAAAGGAGAAAGAAGAGAATACAGAAAAAATACAAGAGATAAAAAACCAGACAGTAGACAAAGAAAGAGAAACAAAAAGGAAAACATTGTCATTAAATCTAAGAGAGACAAACTTACCAGTGGAAGTGAAGGAAGAAAAGAGATGGGAGACGGTGACGACACAGACGGATATCTCGCTGCCAAATACAAAAAGTGCGCCTAAAATTTTTGAGAAAATTCTACGCCAACTCTCCAGAAGTTCTATCGAAGATGGTGTAGAGAAGAAAGCGGCGCCAGATGCTAAAGAAGAAAACAAAGAAGAACCTAAGCCTGCGTCTTAAACTATCTTACAGAGATTCAATTTTAAGCAAGGCACAAATAACAAATTTAAAAGCCGCCATATTGTTTTTGATATGTTTGAAATTATGGAGTGTAGAAGTAAGGAGAACAATCTCTCATAGGAGAATAATTAAAAAAGTGTTCATCTGTAAGCAATAAATAACAATACAAAAACTCTCCACAACGGCGCTGGAGTAGCTACAGGAAACAGCTACAAAAAATGAGCTTAGCAGTTGTAGACGGTGTGAAGTGTGCTGCTAAACTGCTCAGTAGCTCTAAAATCTAAAATATTTTTATTTAGTAAATATAACCTCGAAAAAGTCGTATATCCCACTAACATTTTTCAGCGCGTTTTTTAAAATTTACCCCATAGCTTTAGTGGCGCCACCCTTATTTAACGGTTTTCTATGGACACTTTTTAATACACAGTCTGTACTCCTTACCTTTACACTCCATATTTGAAATTTTTAGAAATCTTTAATTAGTCCCTTTTAACATAGGTACATTGTATTTGACTCGATGGTCTTGAGGTTGTAAATTGTAAACGCAATAAGGACTTTCACATCTTTTTCTGTCACCAAGGAGAGGACACTTAGTGTAATGTATTGACAGATTTCAGGGCGAGGAAATTTATTTGTACGAAAAGTTTAAGATTAATGTTTCTTTCTATACTATTAGTTATATTTTATATAGTACGTGAGGGTAATATGGTCATCCAGCTAATATGGTCACTTTCTTATAGTTCAAAGCCTTATATAGCCTTGTCTGCATAGATGGTTCTGTGATACGATAGCTCTTCATAAGTCAATCAAATAATAAAGAGTCAAAAGGGCGCGGCTTTATCGACGCCATTTTTACAGTTGAAATTATAGTAAATATTTTAGTCGATTTTATTATTGTATAATGTAGTTAGTTTTTTAAGTTGATTTTCCGAAGTGTTCCTAATTATTGCCCAAGCTTGTTTGGTATTATTTTCTTAATATATTAGTAATAGTATATGGCTTTGCTTTTTTGTCTCTGCCCTCCCAATAGTTTAGGTTTTATCTGGCGGCTTAAGGTGATCGATCATATTACCCTCACGTATATGGAGTGTAGAGATAAGGAGAAAAACTCTGTATAAAAAAGTGTCCGTAGAAAAGCGCTAAAGAAGGGTGGCGCCACTGTAGCTACAGTGTAAATTATAAACTTTTTATAATTTTTTATTGCACAGACCTTCTCCATAATTCTTTTTATAATAACTATTTTATTATGTTCAACGTTTTTACTATCAAAATCATTCAACGTATTTTACGGCGATTTTCATACCCTCTAGCTACTCGAGCGCTGTGGTGGAAAGTTTTTGAACTGTTATTTACTGCTTACAGATGTACACATTTTCAACTAAACTCCTATGGGAGATTGTCCTCATTACCTCTATACTACATGCTTACGTACCTTACTAATCAGATTAAAATAAATAAACCAAACCACAGATATTCACAAAAGTAGAAAAATTAAAAAAAAGTGATAAAAATATGGAAAAAATTAAAGATCAAGCCAGTGAGGCATCGTTTTGTGTATCAAAATAATACTCTAGGAACTGATAAAGTTTTATTTTAAACGAACTTCTCAATTAAATGACATTGTGTAACAAAAAAAACTTCACCTCTGTGTCAACTAGCGACATCTAATGAGCGGAATATTATTAGCCCTCATTGCTGATTATGAAGTCCCGGGTTCGAATCCTGGGTCGAGCCAAAATCAGTTATTGGGTTTTCCTGTCGAAAAATTCTCAATAGCATCCCGTAGACAGGAAGTTAGCGTATTTTCACCCCGTGCCTCGGAAAGAACGTAAAGCCGTTGGTCCTGCGGCTGATAACCGTCTCACCAGACTGAGAGTGAGGAAATACAGAGTGCACCTGTGCTTGCACACACACTCGTACACTATACTCATGTCCCGCCGCAGGTGACTAGTCGTGATCGAAACTCAGTTTGAGAACATCTTTATTAAGGTACGTGAGGGTAATTTGGTCACCTTAAGCTTTGCCGCCAGATAAAACCAAAACTAGAAGAAGGTCAGAGACAAAAACACAAAGTTGTATACTATAACTAATATAAGAAAAAAATAGCTTTGGCAATAATTATGAACACGTCGAAAAATCAACTTTAAAAGAACTAACTACACTACATCATACTAAAATCGACTAACATATTTACTATAATGTCAACTGTCAAAATGCCGTCGATAAAGCATTTTAACCCTTTATTCATATCATTTGATGGACCGATGAAGAGCTATCGCATCACAGAGCCATCTATGCAAATAAGCCTGTAGTTTTTGAGTTATAAGAAAGGGACCATATAAACCGGATGACCATAATGTAACCCTAACGTACTATAATATTCATTATAGTTACTGCCCTATAGTGCTATGTATAGAACATTATATTATATTGATTTCAAATTAAATATGTGTACCTATACAGTAAACTGGTGATTAATGTTAATTTAATAAATGTAATATTTCTGTTTAATTTTTTCATTTATTTATTTATTACCACAGCAACAAGATACAGTCTTTAAGAAGTTTGTACAAAGGTTCCACTTATTCCATAATTTGTTGAAATATCTTCCAGTAGTATCTTATAGAAAAACGATTTAGCCTGCGAATCGGTACATGGAATGTCCAAACTATGCTACAAGCTGGAAAAATGGATGAAGTCGGCCGCGAACTGAAGAAATACAACCTCGATATAATAGCACTTCAAGAAATCAGATGACAGGGAACTGGCACCATAGACAAAGGCGAATATACATTTCACTACAGTTGTGCCGACATTCAGGGACACCGCGGCACTGGTTCCATCATCACTAAGAAGCTTCGAAGTTGCGTACTGGGCTTTGAACCAGTCAACGACAGACTATGCAAAATACGGATCAAAGGAAAGCTCTACAATACTACATATGTCTGCGCATATTCACAACGGAATATGCATCAGACGAAGACAAAGAAAAGTTTTACGAGGAACTTCACACACTATGCGGTAAAGTACCGAAATATGATGCTCTTTGTGTTCTAGGTGACTTCAACGCAAAAGTGGGGAAAGAGAATGTTTATGCGGACGTGATTGGTAAGCTTTCTCTGCATTAAGACACCAGTGGCAATGGAGAACTTTCGTGCAATTTTACAGTAGCAAACAACCTTTTTTATATGTGGCACGAAATTTCCACGCAAAAATATACACAAAGGCACCTGGAAGGTTCTCGGCAGGGCTCAATACAATCAAATTGATCACGTGCTATTTAGCAAGCGTAGACTGTCCTACAAATACACTTTGGCTGAAGTTTTCACTCCTTTTTCACAAAAATGTAGCTTTGTGACGCCTTGATAAGACACGCCCCACCAAACCATCACTGACGCGGGATAACGACCACGTTGTGCCTTTCCGACCACTTGAGCAGTTTCTTTAGAACTATGAGCTTACACTTTATCATTTTGCTTATTGTAGTGCGCTTCAATTTTGCTAATTTTCTCATCGGTAAAGAGGATATTTCTGTGCCCTTCACCTGCGTATCGCGACAGAAGGCGTATTGATCCATTCACGAGTCGAGTCGTGTCGAAGATAAGCACCGCGCTTCTGGTCTTGTTTTATAATACGCGACAGAATCTTAGCTGGAATCTTCATTTCTCGCGATAAGATTTTTTGCTATCTAATTTTTCGGCTTTCGACGAATTCTGGATTTAACAGCGTTAACAGCCTTTGTAGTTCTAACAGCACGCGGCCGCCCCGATCTTTTATGGTTTTCGATAGAGGAAGTGTTGTTGTATCTGTTGATAGTACGATATACGAATATACGGCTGATACCAAGCTTTTGAAGTGTCTGGAATATGACCGACGGCTTCATACCCACTTTGTGCAAGGTGATCACCGCAATCCTATTTTCTTTAACACCCCATTCCATATTGTAATTTGATAATGAACACGAAAAAAATGTGAAATGGCGCGAAATCGAAAGAACTTTTAAAAATAATAAACGCGTTCCAAATTCAAAATAATTAAAAGTTGAAGAAAAGAAAAATTTTTACGTAACAGTATATACTCGTATGGCCTGACTAGTTTTTTTAAATGTACTGTGGACTTTCCAGCAAGACTCTGCACCTGGTCACAAAGTAGGAACTACCCAAGCCGGGCTTAAAGCTAACGTACTTATAACGTGTAACGACTTTATAAGAGCTGAAGACCGGGCCTCATCTAGCCCAGACCTCAACCTTTTAGACAACACATTACAAATTATGGTCAGTTGCAGAGGGCATGGCTTGTTCTAAACGACACGGCGACATTGAGTCTCTTAAAAAATCTCTGGAGCAAGCAGTGGCGAAATTTCCCATGGAAACAGTGCGTAAATCCATAGATTCGTGGCCAGACAGATTAAAGGCCTATATAAAAGCCGGGGACCTTTGGCTTTTATATAGGCCTTTAATCTGTCTGGCAATTTTGAATAGAATATTTTTTTATTTTTTGCTGAGGCTTTAATAAACATATAAGTTTTAGTAATATTTCATTACTTCAATAAAAAAATTGATTTTTATTTGTAACAGAACTTATGGCCGGACTAGGTATATATAAACTAATACTAATATAATAAAATAATATATATTTATTAACAGGACGCAAAGAAGTTTGTGCTTTGTTTTTTTTCTGTGGAAACTGCTTTAGAATCTTTTTTAAAACTCGATAAAAAAAACACTAAAAAGAGACAAAACATATATACATATTTGCAGGAATTAGCCTGCGTGAGAATGGAGACATAATATTATATTAACTAGCCAACCGGCTCCGCACGGGTGATTTCTGGATCTCGACAACAGCGCCACCTACTTGGTCCAACTGAGTTTTCCAACCATCCAGGGATCGACTCAAATACACACAAGAAAATTCATTAAAATCGATCGAGCCATTTGCACAAGTTTTTGCAAGACAGCATTTTATTTTATTTTATAGGATGACAAACGAGTACACAG